AATGCCTGGAACCCGCTAAGCTCAGCGGGCTGATCAAGAACATCGAGACGGAGCTGAATGCTAAGGGGATCAACGACAACCGATACGCGTTCATCCGCTGGAACATGGACTCGAGTCCGTACGTCCATGTCATCGACGGGAAGCACTTCACCAATCAAAGGAACCTTCAAAGGGAACTCGACAAGTAAGGATAAAAACTCCGTGTTCGGGCACAGGGCGTCGAACCCAATAAGCACAGTTGGCACAGTTCATGACCTGACATAGGACAGTCAATATGCAGGACTCCACGTGTGCACAGGCCACCTTAAACAAAGAATACTTATGACAATTTGAGCTTATTGGCTCTATCTGCTGAGCTTTTATTATTTTCCGTGAAAATTTTAATTCTGATATCACGCCAATAGAGCTTTTGCTAGAGCAGATAAAGTTACTCCATCGATTAAACGGGAAACAATTCTTCCTCCTCAGCATGGAGCTCACTGGTGTGACGAATGGCCAAGGCGACCTGTACGAGGTGATCGAATTCGCAGCCAAGCTCCCTTTCCGAGCGGGAGTCGGCAAATCCCTCGTGATCGTCTCTTGCGAGGAATGCGGAAGGCCCGACACCCAGGCCTACGCCGACACCCTCAATATCCTCTTGGAAGCTGATATGCGACTCCACTTGCTTTACCCAACGAAGATCGGGCTCAAGGGTGAGAAAATCGCGAAGCCCCTGGACGCTCCGGTTGGATTCGACGACGGGAAGGTGTTTACCCTCAAGGATTCCAGGGATCTCCAGGGAGACCGGAACTTGAAGGAACGGCTGGCCATCGAGAAGGTATTTACGCCTGTACTCATCAAATTTTGTTTGAATTTTTTTTTTCGGAAAGGCTTCGCCGAAAATAGGAAACTGTTGAGCACATACTTAATCAATTGTTTAAGTTCCTCCACAAGGATGACCTCATTTAAAAATTTCCGATAACTAATTACTTGAAGCAACAAGAAATGCTTAAAATTCTAGTCTTTCATTTGAGCTTTCGGAAGTTCTATTGCCTCGAACGGTTCTTGAATGGATCAACAAAGCCAAGCTCCATGTCTCTTGCTAGGACTTCTGCATGCCGTTGGCGATCGAAACAAAGGGCTCTGTGTTCACGATGAACTTCCTGAGGGACAGACCGAACCGAATCAAGAAGTTGTGGTCTGTGTTCGGACAGAGGCTTTCCGAGACAGCGCTGCCCTCCCCTTGCCTTCGATGCGATTGCGTCCCTGATCGGAGTGGGATGGGACGCACTATGTGCCACCCTTGCATCCCGCCTTCCCTTTCCGACTTCTTCGCTGTGAGTTTCGCTCTAATACGTCATCCTTTCCTTTTTACCTCTTTATCGCTTTGAGTTTCCCTTCCCTCTCTACCACCATCATTCCTTGGATGTTATGAGCCATTCAGGCGCAAAAGATATGAGGAAAAAGTATTTAAAGGCTCGTGGAGTCTTTTTCAAAGGAGACAGCGAACACGTTACAATCATCTCTTCATTGAAGTAGTTACATTAAATCTCAGAAGAAACCTTAATCGTGCGACATGGTGCCCTTCTTGAAGACGGGCTCCGCTACTAATGAATTCTGCGTTTATTGGAAACCCGCCCTCATCATCAGACCGCGAAATGAAAACCCTGATATTGATTCCTTGGCGATGATTCCCATACGTCCCTTTTTCCTCTTTCTCTTTTTCCTTCCTTCCCCAATCAAAAGCCTCTATTGTTCTTGTGATTTGTCCCATATCGGTTATATCCTGATGAGGATTTTCTCTCTTTTTCCCTCTCTCGAACAGAGCTTTGACCGCTTGGAGTACAGCAGTTCTTAGAAAGGAACGGAGTTCGACGAGAGCCCCTTGATCTCTATCGTCTTTTGCTGCATATATATACTTATGGAACATATTTCATTCACTTCCAGAAATAAAAATGTATGATCATTCCGGTGGGCTTTTTCTCCCCTGCATGCGAGTTGATTGAAACGTCGACGCTTTTTGACAGAGCCATAGCACATAATAGGACACCGTAACAGAAGGGCAAATGCGCAATTAGGCGAGCCTTTACTCACTCACTCACTTGACAAGCAGTCAATCGATAAGAAGGACAATGAAAATCGCTTTCTCCATGGAAACTAAGTGCATTGAACGTGAACCATCCCCTCCCATTACCTCATGAAATTTGCATGCCCCACGGAGGATATAGTAAGCATAGGAAACGTTCCAGGCACGTCGGGTGACTTGCTCCATTTAAATCATCTGCCACTCGCAGAGTATTCTTTGAAAAGAGGAAAATGGGGTGGAGAAACGAAAGAGAGGAAAACGGAGAAAGTTTCCTAATCCTTCTCCATCAGCCCATCCAAGCCAGCTGGAAGTAAAGGAGAAACGAAGATCTATCAATTTCAAGTAGACCGTAAACAGAAGAATCTCCGACTGGAGCTGGGGCATGTCGGGAGAAAATCTAATAAAGAAGTCGATATCACTCGGTTCTCATGGGAAATACTCATCGGATTTTTCGGAGATTATGTCAGCTTCCTGTCGTTCATTCCAACTTTCGGAGATGGGAACTTGACATCTTGCATGACCCCGAAAAAAAGGGAAGAGCCTAAGTTCTCATCAGACGGGAAGGGAGGAAACAAATGTGACTGGAATCGGATTAAAGGGGCAGGGCTGGCTCCCCTCCGAGGCTTTTTGGCAGGCCAGGCCAAGGTTCATTTTTCTTGGCGATTCTCTCCACAAATGGAGTGTCCGGCCTTTTTTTTGCGTCCTTTTGTGTCCTTTTCACCTTATGCTTGCTTGCAGGTCCTCCTCATCGTGTGACGTTTGATGGATGACGGGTTTCCAGGATTCCTTCCTCATGAATATTCTATGGGGTTCGTGTTTGGGGTGCCTGTCCATCACGGAGATTCGTGACGAGGGAAGGACCTGTCTCTCGAGGGAGAAGAGTTTTATTCGAGAAAAAAGGGAGAAGTCGGGTAATGAAGCCCTATGCGTGATTGCACTGCCAAGGTGCAGTTCTAATCATTTCAGATCCTGAAATAAGCTGCCGTGCCGATGTTTCACTATCTACAGAAGAGCTAGCTGATATTCCAGTGGAAAAAGAAAATCCCGCCGACGACGATGAATATCAGCTGGGAATATACAAACAACGGAGTTAGATCAATACGGCAAAAAAATATCACAGTTGGTGCCGTTGTCTTCGTTTTCACAATCTTGGGAAATTTGGAAAGGAGGACACAAGGACGAGTACAGAAAAGACGAGCAGGACGAGGACGAATAAGTCCGGGAGCCCGGACTTGGGGGATCGATTGCACCCGTCCGAGTTGCACGTGAGGACACAGCCCGTCATCTCGACGTCATCGAACCTGAAGATCCCACACTGAGAGTTCATGTTTTCCAGGATGCAGGTCCGAATCACCAGGCTTTCCTGGGTGACAGCTGAAAAAAAGAGAAGAGCCGCCTGAAATTGTCACGGAGGAGGAATTCCCCTGCCCCAGCTGCATTTGTCAGCAAGGCAAGTTGGATCCATTTCCCTTGTTCCCTATAGGGGAAATCGATTTTCTCCAACAGACGAGGTTGCCTTGCCCCGGAAGCAAAGTTTGCCCCAGACAAACTAAAGAATATGAGTTAGCCAGGCGGAAACGGAATCCAAAAAGAAACAGAGGAAGCAGGAATTCTACTGTAATGCAATGTAAACATCCGGCAGATCCCAAGTGGGAATGGCGATTAGGAGAATGACGGGTAAGAAAACTGGATATGAAATGGGTTCTACCCTTGCGAGGGAGCATGCAAGGGGCGATGTCTCGCTTCAAATAGCCAAGGGATACAGAAAAGGCTTGAAAACGTTTTACTCGACGTTTGGGACACCAGCGTACTTTTTTGTTCACTTTTGATCGGTTCTTCTGAGCTCTAAGCCTTTGTAAAAATCGCGAGCACTTTGCGAGTAGCACTCAGACTTGTTCTGTTCTTGTTTCTCATTTCTAACGATTTGAGCATTTGAGCATCATCAAATTTGAAAAGGAGGCACGATGCTCCCCCCTTCCCTTCATTTGTTGACTGCATATGTTCAGAGGGGGCTGGGCTCTCAGTGCGAGCTTGGGACTTGCAGTAAGCCGATTTCTCAAAGGGAATCACTTTCTCGGATCCTCTATGGAGGATTATTATATATGCTATACACCTGGGGTTGTATTCTATGAATTCTTAGACAAACTCTCGAGTAAAGTGGTTATTTGGCTCTGCATTGGAATGAGCTAAACAGCTAAGCTCTGGGTTTAGAGAGATAGCATCAGAGAATAATATATTATACCATTGTAGACCTGAATGCTAGACGTCTTGATAAAATCTTTCTCTTTGTGCAAGTAAGGTCTATTTGCGATGTCAGAACGTCATGAATGCCGCATAGAACGTCATTTTCCCTGATCCTTGGATATAGTGCAGAATGTTAGCAAGGCATGACCATCGTAAACGTCGATGCCAGGAACGACACATAATTAGTCATCGATTTTTATTGGCAGTCACAAGGTGAAAATATTAGGAAGCCAATTTCCAGTAAACCAAAAACAACGGGCTATGGGGGACTAACTACATTTATGCCCTAACTAATCTAAATAGGCCCAAAATACTAGGGTGACTCAGAAAAAAGTTTTGTATGTCTTCGTACTATGTCTTCGTACGTATGTCTTCACTCACCCAAGACCATGTGCTACAGGGGAAGCAGCACTCATCAGTATTTCATAAATTCGAATATCAGCAGTTGTCAATCACCGTGGAAGGAGATGGGGAGGATAGTTGGCAAGGTAATTTTTTTTAGATGGCGCCGTGGTGGCAGTATGAATATGAGCGGTATTTCACGGTTTTCATACCGTGGCGATAATATCGAAAAATGTAGCAGGGGTCGGTTTGATAATCACAACAACCGAATACTCCCCTATGATGAAAACACCGACATACGGCAACGCCCTAAATAGGAGGCTTGCGTGCATACACTCGTAATAGCAGAACAAGATGGGCGATGGTGATGGCAACGCATACAAGGTTTGAGCAGCGCTCCGCAATGGAATTCCTGACCGTACTGTCGCATGGCCAATCGTGTGATCATCATCGATTAGGTATCGCAGGAAACCACCCGTATTGCTCAATACTTCGGGCGTGGTGCCATCCGCAACGAGTGCCAGGGATTGCTGACCAAAAGAGTGCCAACACGACGAGGCCAGGTTCCAATGTTGCCCGTTCGCGTGTGGAAGTCTCAAGCGACTGGGATGGGGGGTCGTCATAGATAGGATTAGGCAGCTTTGGATTACCCGATCTTTAACCTGATTTGGATCTGTTTCCGGCTTTGAAGGACCTTTTCCCAGGAGGGTGTAGATAAACTCGATCATGTCTGACAAATATGCGCTGGCGCTTCTGATAACGTGGGAAAGTCATGTATAGTAAATATACCGAAGCTGCATGATCCAGCAGGAAACCTGTCATATATTCTCTGTCTACGTAATATGCATTTTCCGGCTTCTTTCTGGGCCACCCTCGTATTCGCAAAATTGCCTTCCTCTTTTAGCGATGAAATTGCAAAAATATGCAAAAAAGCCTGCATGAGCTTCCCGCTCGTTTGCATCATTCAGGAAGACGAGATGAGACATGCTGACTTTGGAACTGGATTTTGACGGAAATGGGGAAATCCCACACGCGAGTAACTGCATCACGATGAATCTCTACAGAATTCTCGACTCAGAGAGCACTCACATTTTGAGTGGCTCCCTTTCCGCCTCAAGGTCCTTTATCATGGGTGACACAGGGTAATTGCTTCGAGAGCACATGGATGTGAACTTTCTGACCTCATGCCAATTCTCAAGGGATAAGCGTGGCAGAAGGTATTGAGATAGATGGAAGCTGAAACGCGGGGATTTCACAAAGCCTTTCATCCCTCGGTGATAGGCCATACCGTGCCCCCTAAGCTAAGAGAGGAACCTGCAGTAGCTCGGGAATATGCGCAGCCTGCAATGCGGGGAGCCCCAACCGTCACAGGATTTAAGAAGGCAGATGGGCTACAAGGCGCTTTTAACCCTTCAACTCCTGTTCGTACTAGGTGAAAATATCTTTTCGTCCAGATGAGGCCTGTGTCGGCTTGATTGAAAAGGTATTGACCCTTCGCGCTTCCATCCCCATGAATAGGCTCGGTTTGTTGAGCTCCTTCTGATCTGCTTTCACTTCCCACTGTACATTTAGTGCCCCACCTCGGCCTCCAGAAGTGAGAGATCATAAAATAAGTATTCAGGATTAAAAGAAGTTGTGAGATCTACAAAATGCTCTTGTTTATTCGGATATATGAAAATTTGAACCGTTGACTGTGATCTATGACGGCCCGAAGGCCTTGTTTTGGCTCATCCGATCGTGCTTCTCCTGTCAATGATCTGTCAATAGCCAAGACGGCAGCAAGGATAATAACTGAAGGGGGTGTACTTAGGCGAACATCAACATTTTCCAAACATTCTGGTGGCTATATTGAAGCGGAACATCTCGACCGAACGGACACCATGCTGAATAAGCGAATCGAGAAGGAACTGAAAACGAAGGTCGGACGAAAAACAAATCTAGAGGAAGGAACGCCACTGCCAATAACAAAAATCATGATACTTGTCACTTATAGAATATACCGAGGCAAATAAACCAAGGTATCAGAACGTGGGCTCATACACTACCTCCTTAAATTAATAGCGAGTCGAACAAAGAAGCAGAGAAAAGCTGGAGAGCAAAGACTGGATAACAAAAAAAGGACACAGTAGGTGACCATGAAGACCAGCCTCCAACCATCCGATGAACGGACAAAAGGCAAACAGAATCGGAATCCGGAAGGAAAGCATAAAAAAAGGGAACCCCGCTATACATCAGTATCTCCGCTATTCATCCAGTATAGCAGGGCGGAGCTGAGGCTATATTTATAGATGGAGGAGGTAACTTAATCCCTGCTGAATAATGCATGTGCAATCCCCCTCCCCCCCCCCCCCCCCTCCCGCCGTATTAAATCTGGGTCCAAGACCCGCAGGTGAATGGGTCATATAACTAACCGTTCTTCCCTATGATCTTGAGACAGAAGTTGGCTGGGAATTTCCCCTGGTGGAAGCGTTTGGGAACCATGCAATCCATCTTGTACTTGGACATGGCCGGGTGGAAGGGATCCTCGCAGTTTATGTCACTTCCATTCCGGCTCACACACGTGTAGCAGTTGATCGTTCCCAGCGCTGCAACGGTAATAAAGAGGAGTTGAAAGGCGAAGATCACCCATTGAAGATGTAATGCCGGGTTTGATGGGAAGTGGGGATGACAGGTCTGATCTCTCGTGAGGGATGGACGCGATAAAAAAAATATAAGCACCACATAAATCCTGTTCTCTCGGGTGTACTTGCTCAAAGAGCAGCTCATCTCATTCCGTCTCGGTGAAATGCGAGTCGAATGCATCATGAATAATGTTATCTGCACATTGCTCGAGGCTCTCGGCCGATCGGATTACATTTCCTGTCATTGTTCTGAGAGGCAAGAGCCCTCGGGACCACCCGAGAAGGAAATCGCCTTCGGGACTTCCTCGTGTTAGCCTTTTGCATCCAAGGCGACCTCCAAGGCCAGGACTCCCTCCACGGCCGGGAGGCAATTACGTTCCATTACTGTAACAGTCACGAATAGAATTATCATTTAAAGAGTAGATCTAAAATAAGAAAATAAGAATAAGCGTTTTGGATTAACATGGCTCAAAAGTACTCCTTCATGAGACAACGTGACAGAATACACTCATGCGGATGATTGCCAATGACTTATTGTGATGCGAGAGAACTTCCTCGTCACGGAATCCGGATATTAGGAGGACTTTTGCGTGACACATTCCTGCCGAGGGTGCTGAGCACCGCTCGTGAAGTCTCGATCCAGTGAATATTGACGAACCTGGAGAGGCTGGGCGGCGGCTTGCGTCACCGAAAGCTTCAGCAACGTAATTATGGTCTTAAGGAACTTGCATGCACTTACGAACGGCTGATGGATGCATTAAAAGGGTTGGTGCCTCATCAGAGAGACGTTGACGGGCATATGAGGAGAATGGGTCTGGGGGGCTTATTGCGGCGAGATGAGAGGAAGAAGAAAAGGCGCTAGGATCGATGGGAAATGGGGAGGAAGCTATTGTCTGGCAATAAGAGCTCTGTTTACATCATCAAGCCCGGCAAAATGAACGTGTGGGTCGAGTCTCTCACCCGGGTACGAGAAGGACAAGATCAGGGCCCCGAGCAACATGTTTCAGCCCAAGTCCATCTCCAGATCTGTCAATCGTCTGCAATGGAAGAAAAAAATTTCATCTTGGAGAACGTAAATACGAATGTTGACTATAGCGTTTGAATTTGAAATATGGAATGGAATCCTTGAATTCCTATTCGAATATGGATTCGAATGCCACTCAATGACACCAATAGAATGTTACTGAATTGATCCTCGACGAATGCCCATGAAAGCGATATGATCCTTCGTGATTCAAAAGGTTTCAGGAACATACTATTCAAAGGATTTCAAGATCTCTCACTTGTTTTCAACAAGGGATAGGCGGAACCAGAGGGAAATCGTCAGAAAATCTAACTTTCGCCGCTTCCAAACAGGTCAATCCTGATTACTCCTAATTCCCGAGCTGTTGCATATTCTGTCAGCAAAAACTGGGTTTTTCTTGATCCCGTATCTGTCAGTCAACCATTAGAAAGTTAATGGCATCATAGAGAGAAACCGTGCCAGGACCAAACTGACGGGAGGTGACGATACTCCTCGAGGGACCGACGGAAGGTCAATGGGTCCCACGTAACTTTCTTATAGTCCTGTTACTTTTTTCGTTCTTTGCTATTCTGACCGCTAGGGATAGATGCAAGAATATGCGCCCCGAAAGTTTCCGCTCTCATCCCTGTCCGAACCCGCGGGCGGGGCAGGGAAGGAAATGCGACTCTCGTGTCCCTCTCTAACCGCAACTGCCACTGGCAGCAGCGGACGAAACAGAGTTGCCAGAAATTCATATTAAGGTTTTTCTGGCTGTATTGGTTGAATGCATTGAAGATCAGACTTGTGTTGAGGGATTTGTAAAGCAAATTATCCGGAATAGTTGAATAATAGCGATGAGTACTTGAATGAAACATGAAAATGCTTCTCGAGTGATACATCTGATTGGAATTCCTGCGCGAGAAAAGTTTGCCACATGCCATATGCATGATAAAATATGAATATAAATTGCTTTGAAATGCGAAAATCTCACTCGAACGTGTGAAAAGCCTGAATTTATGCCCATTTCTGCTCACGAGAGATTATTTATCCTTATTTAGCCGAGAATCTCTAGCAAAAGAAATGTATTTTATTATTGTTCGCATGAGAAGCTTGGTAACTCACAGTAATATGTAAAAAAAAAAACCACCCGGAAAAAGCGGGTTTGTTCACATCTGAAAAAAAAGCTATATCTTTCCTGACATAATGGAGCCTGTCGGCATGCGCCAGTCGTTAGTTCTGGCTAATATGGCCGAAAGGGAACTGCAATCCCCTCCTTTTAATGGATGGTTCCAATAAAGTCCCACGACCCGGAAAGGGGGTAGGGAAAGAATCTTGCAGGACAGATCCACGCTTCGCCGGGTGGCAAGGAAATCCTTTCCCTTTTTAATGCCCCTCTTCAAGGGGAATAGAGGATGATGATCGTCATTGGTTTAGAGGGAAGCACGTCGGCTTTCTTCCCATGATTTATGAGTCTTCTCCCAGGCGGGGAGAGTTAAATGAATTGCATTTAATATCGGCCCACGGCCCCCTTGAAGGGCCTCGGCCCAGCCTTTCATCGGTGCCTGGGGAACGGTCTTGGAAAACGGTCTGCAATTAACGGAAGAGCTTGGAGAGAAGGCGGAAACGGTTCATGATTCCATGCCAGGCTTCTCTGTCTGCAGACGATAAACGTTGTCACCAGATGTTCCTTTGAGGAACGTTCAGATGGAAAGACAATGGAGGAGATATCAACGGAGACTTCCGTGACGGTGGGAAATGGAGAGGAAAAGTGAGCGGTATTTCCACTCAATCAAGGATACGGCAACTATACGGGGAGGAGATCTCGCGTGACTTTCCCTACCCAGCTCGTACTGGGAAGGGCATGAAATCTCCATTTACTCCCTCTTTCGCTGTCTTCCCTCCAATTTCCGACACTCTTTCCTATCGCTCTCTGGCCTTCCCTGCGAGACTCAGGCGGGGTAAACATAATATCTCCTCCTCGATCCTGAGGCTTCGTCGAAGTCCCGGAGAAAGGAATGCTCTAGAGCGATTATTTTCTTTGATAATTGCTATTTGGCTGCAGACTTACATGAATGTAAGCAGATATGAATGTGGGAAGGAGAATCATAATGAACTATCGAGAATATCCTGATCATCTTCCCATGGATTCCCAAAGCTGCCTGAAAAGAATTGCAGCGCCGCAATGAAGATCAGATTAAGAATCAGGTCAAATGTAATATTTGATTAGCGGAATAACGCTTTTACTAGTTGGATAGAGGAATACGTTTTTGGAAAAGATGCTGTGGCTGCCCCTATTTGAAGAGGTTTAAGAAGAGGTACACGCCTTCACGGAAAAAAAGAAAAAAAGGGAGTAATACAAATGCAAGTAGCTTGGCAGTGATACTGACACGCTCTCACAAAAAAAAATTTCCTTTAGAATGGTACGCCTTTGTACTCATGGAGGAGTTCGGACGAGCGCTCGAGCTCGACGGAAAAGTGTCAATATGGGCACAAATGCCTCTTGGTAACCATACCCAAAGTCGAAAGTTGAATATGCATCCATGCTTCGTCGATGCAAGCCACTAACAAGTTATGGAGCGACACGAAACGAGTAGCTTGCCACTAAAGCATGCATCCAGCAGGCAGTTAAGAAGCGATCCACACCTGCACTCGTCACTGTTGGTTTGGCATTTGCTCTGGTTTTTCAAGGTTTTCATTTGACTGTCTGTCGTGCATCGCTTGGCACAAGCGGCAAAATAGTTGGCACCCGTTTCCCAATCGTACTGTCATTCACAAGACCGTTGCCAGGACTCGATATTTCCTTTCCTCTCTTTCATTTGTTTCAAGTTGAAAATGAGACGAAGTTTATTTTCCTTCTGTCCCGCCTCTGACATTTGCCTAGTCCTCATTGATTATTTTTAACATTTCGTTCCATCCGTAGTGCTGAATCCCTTCTAGGTCGTTTTTTTGCGACTGAATCACACACTTAAAGCAGTGTACGAGTCCTGCAATACGATTACCGTGAACTTATTTCGCATAAGAGTCACTGTGAAAAACTAACCCGAGAAATATGTACTTTAGGATATGCTCGATGTCCCCCGTATGCATTTAATTCCAACTGCTAAGAGTGGGCGATAATGTTACTGTTTCGTCTGGAAATTTAATTTCGATTTCTCTATTTTAAAGAGAAAAAAATTATGGTAATTATTTAAGAATTCTTGAGAAACTCAATATCCTACGCCTTTCCTCTAAACGGATTCTGATGGAATTTCAATTTTCCTAATGCAAAAGTGCGCAAAAAAAACTTTCTTTGAGACGTAGACAATATGAGTTGGAGCTCAGAGTGATGAGAGATTTTATAATAAAAATGAGTGATGAACCAACCTTGAATAGAATATCCTTAGCCTTAATCTTAAAAGCTTGTATATCATGAGTAGGCTCATATTATCTTAAAACTTCTCAAATATGACCATGAAACAAGGCGACAAAAAAGTCCTAATATAACAAAAACTGAAAATCTATTATCACTGTACGTGGTTTTCGAGCCAAGATATGAAACCGACATTGATATGAGACGAAAATCTGATTTATTTCTAAGGACCAAACTCAATTTTCTGCTCTTAACTCCTATTGGCTCGGAGGAAATCGAAGCTCTGAGGTTACAAGTATTTATGGGGGAAATATGACTGAAATATGACCTTAAGCGTGAAATATTACCTTAAGAGCGAAATATTATGACTGAAATATGACCTTAAGCGTGAAATATTACCTTAAGAGCGAAATATTACCTAATAACAACGGCTTATTTTACTCTTACTGGTGACAGGAATTCATCCAGCATGTATGAATGTATGCGCACATTTAAAAAAATATGATCTTGTCTACAAATCCACCATTAGTGATTTGAACCATGCTGTTGAGTCTCAGAATCGCCCTCAATCATAGGGGATTCGAATCTAAAGCATGGAGATTAATGATAATTGGTGAAATAGAAAAATAATTTAAAGAAGTGAATAGTTCCAGGATCAATTAATTGAAACATAAAGATGCAGAAGAAATAATATTAGAATTTTCTGGAATATTTCCAGGAACAGCGGAATCTAACATAAACTTAAATAATCTGATTTTCATTCATGAAACGAATAGTCCTTCACAAATCCCAAATTTGCCTCAAATGAGACTCCCATAGAGCTCGATTCACTGAATTCTATACCATGACAGCCTCCATGCGAATCTCACTACTCAACTCATTACAGTTTCCGATAATGTTTGAACCTGACCGTAATGACAGCGACTTTTACATTACACCGACCTTCCCGCTTTCGCTTCGACGGAGCGAGGGAAAAAAAGGGGGTTTCTAAAGCAAATCCCATTCCTTTCCCTCCTATTCAGACAAAATCGCATCGCACCCGGAAGGTAATAAATACTATTATCCGGGTATCGAGGCAGACCACGCTGAGAAAGAGCACTCATCTCGACCTTTCACCTCATCCGGGATTCTTTCCTTCATCTCTCCTCGCATCGCATGAAGGAGAATGATGAAGACAGATTCACGCGGCAGCAGATAGAAAGACCGGATTGAATCGGGATACAATGGGCGAGGAAGGGACAGCATAATGGGCGTTTGTTTGGAGAGGTTCCAATAAGGGGGTGCTAGGGGTGGAAAGTAAAGGCCAACTGTGCACGCCTCCCTTGTTTCCCTGTCGCATTGCTTCAACCCCAGAAAATTCCTGCAAGTGCATTTTTCCTGTAATCCTTATAATTTGTCCTAGAAAAATCGATTATTTCAAATTATTTTTTTTTGCGCTTTACTTACGATTCGCGCATACCACACTGGGTATCACCATCTGATCTCCGCTAGGTGAGAACTCCTGTCTAGCACTCTCAAGAGTTTGGATCTTTTCACATGAGGCGGGGAGAGAGGACAAACGGAGAAGGAGAAAGATCGATGCAGAAAGGGAGAGGAACTTGCTAGGCAAAAAACATGCCGACTCCCAAAGTTGCCGAGTCATACAAAATTAGATTTTGAGCCTCCTTTGCCTTTCGAAATACAGAACCTCCTGCTCCCTCACATGGACATTCTTTTCT